CGGGGGGCCCGAATCCCACATCCCCACGAGCTTATCTGTTTGCTTTCCACTCAACATCCGCTGGCAGGCCGCACCAGCGCCCAGGCGGGGGGCCCACCCGTCAGCTGGGGCAGGACGCCCCGTGCAGTGCTCAGCCGCTCCCTGTCGGCTCTTGGCGGAGGGTGCCCTTGGACTCGGGCCTAGAAGCTAAAAGCGTGTTAGCATTTCCCTCAGGACCTCAGAGAGGGTCCCAGCCTCCAGGTCCCTGGATACCCACTCCGGGTTGGGAGGGAGTTGGGCTGGAGAAAGCCCTGAGGACCTCCTGTGAGGGGGCTCCTCCGCCCACCCGGGATCGGGCATGATGAAGGACAGGCCAGGCGGAAGCTCTGCTATGTGTCGGCCCAAGCTACAGGCCTGAGCAGTGGGACTGATGGAGCAGGCTCCCAGCCCCAGGGGGCTACCGCCCAGGGAAGGGGCAGCTTGGCCAGGCCCCCTCCTACAGGGGCTGCCTGAGCCATAGGTGGGTGTCCGACCCCAGCCACCCTGCCCGCTTCCCGACACACGCCCCCTGTCGTCTGTGTGCACACAGATGTGGACCAAAAAACCGAGCCCTGCGCTGGGGCCAGCCCTGGGTCTCAGTCCCCTTGGGGACTCAGCAGCCACCAAAGTCCCTTCTTGCAGCCACAGACCTGACATTCTCTCTACTTACAGCCACACATTGGGGCTGTGGGTAGCAGTCAGCACGGGGGGCAGGACTCAAGTTCACAAAAGGGTCCAGGAGGGGGGTTCGGAAAAGAAAAAGCCAGGGATGCAGGGGGAGAGGCAGAGTCACCCCCAAACCCCAGCCCAGGTGCCAGGGCTGAAGCTGAGAGAGCAGGCTGGGGGGGGGGGGGGCCTGGGAGCCTTGGCTCTCAGCTCTGCTGGCCAGGAAGCAGAGGGATGGCCTTGCAGCCAGCCTCTGGGGTCATGGTCCCCCTGCAGGCTCTGGGGCCTCACCCTTGGCACATCCCTGGTCCCCTCCGGCAGCTCAGGGAGGGTGTAGAGCCATGGCATCTGTGACTCCAGGGTCGGGTCCCAGGGAGGGCAGCTGCAGACCCAGGGGGAGGTAGAAAGGAGTGGCCAGGTCCGAACATGCTCGGAAAGCAGTATCATTGGGGCTGGGGTCACCAATGACACTTGGGGCAGCAGGGCAGAAAGGACAGGTGGCCAGGTAGCCTGCACCAGCCACACAGGACCTCGGAGGGAGCTGTGGCGGGCAAATGACACACATCACTCCCCTCCCTGCCCCCCCCAGCCCCTCTGGGCATCCTCGCTCCATGCCCAGGGCTCCTGCTTCCTGCAGCGGCCCCTGCTCTCAGCCCCAGCAGGAAGGGCTGTCCAGCTGTGCCCACCTGGCCCCACCGCTCCCCGACCCGGCAGAAGGTCACCCTTCCTGAGACACTGAGGGTCCAGAATGACCCCAAGCCTTACACCC